GTGTGAGGTACACAGGGCAGGTGAGGATAGGTCAGGTCTTGTGAAGCATCTGTGCTGGGGCTGGGATCCAGAGGGCAGGGGATGCTGGGGACAGGAACCTAGAGCCAGGGCATCTTGATCTGCACCCTGCAGAGCACAGGCCCTTCCTCTGCAGAAACCGAGTGTCCCATACGTCCCTCATTGCCAGGCCACTCTTTGGGAGGGTGGGAGGGGAGACGGGGAGGCTCAGGGCCAGGTGGACGTGGGGCTGTAGCCCACCTCAAGGAAGGGAGAGCGTCTGTGCTGCGGGGGCTGGGGCCTGGGAGTCCCACAAGTGCACTCACCATGGTCGTTGTGCCGGGCCAGGTCCTGTGCGTCAATGAGCAGGTCATGGTCAGTGTCCAGCTCCCAGAACTTACAGTAGATGACGTAAAAGTGCTCGTACGAGAAGTACTCGGTCAGCTGGTTGATGTCTGCCTCCTCCTCTAGCAGGGCCACATTCTGGAACATAAACCCACAGACATGCGAGGATGGGCCGTGAGGGGCAAGCCTCTTGCAGGTGGGCTGGCGCCTCAGCCGGGGGACTCCTGTTCCTCAGGGCTCAGGGCTCTGATCCTGAGGCTGGCTGGAGGGTGTGGGTGCCTGGGATGGGGCAGCCCTGTGGAGGGACAACTAAAGAGGGGGCACCTAGGGGCGGGGCAGCCAGGAGCAGGGCACAACCCACGGCAGCCCCTATGACCCAGGCCAGCTGCCCCAGCATCACAGAGAAGCGCGAGGGTCTCCTCAGTGCCAACGCAGCCAGCTCGGGGCCCTGACTTGGGCAGTGGGCACCCTGCTGTGAGCATCACAGGCCTGGAGCACGTGAGAGTGGGGTCCATGCCAGGCAGTGGTGTGGGGATGGGCGAACACCCACTCGCCCGCCCCCCGTGGTGGCCTACCTGTAGGAAGGTGCTCCTCCTGAGCTCTGTGCAAGTGATCCTGCCCGACCAGGACCTGTTGACCGTGTAGAATATCCGCTGGATGACCTGCAGGAGGAGGACCTGTCGGTGCAGCATGTGCAGGGCAGGCACGTGGGGAAAGGACGGGGACCATGCCGCAGGACCCCAGTCGCTGAGAGGGCACGCAGAATGTAGTAGGGGACTCTGAGGACAGTGGAGGGAAGGATGGCCAAGCCCCAGCCCTGGCCCAAGCACAAAGAGGTCTCGACAGGCGGACTGGGGGCTATAGGGAGGGCTGGGGCAGGGAGGGGCTGTCTGCACCCAGGACTCGGCCACACCTGCAATACACTAGGCTAGGTGGGTTCAAGGTAGGACGTCCCCAAGCCACGCACTGACTGCACATGGGTGAGTGCCCCAGACAGGAACTCCAGAGAGGCAGGGAGTGCACATAAGAGTGGAACGTCACTGACAGCCTGCTTGGAAATGCCGGGAACACTCAACTGACTGGTGCATAGAAAAGTGTAAACATGACTGCAGCACCGGGTACCTCGCCTGCCTGCACAGCCAGCCTGATGCTGCTGACCTGGCTCAGCTCTGGTCCCACAATGATGATGCTCTAACCCGTCCTCATCCTCACATATCACCTCACCAGTCCCCATCACAGGACGTTCTGACACGTCTTCTCAAGACGTACCTCCCCCACCTTACCGAGTCCTCCCCAGAGGGCAGACACACCTTCGCCTCCCACAGCAATGAGAGTCGTCCCCACAGGGCAGATGTGCCCTCAGCACCCACGTCCCTGAGATCCCCTCCCTACAAAGCCTACGGTGACCTGTCGACACCATCTTTACCCATGCCCTCAGGAGCCTGAGGCAGAAGGACGCCTGGCCATGGATGTTAAGGTATGAACGAGGCCAGTGCAAAGGCACCTGACAAACTACTCTCTTTCTAAAGCTGCTCTTCTGTGACTGGATGCCATGGGGTGGCCAAGTGGGCTGTCTCCAGGCCACTGTGTCTGTCCTGTGGGCAGCCCTGCGGGGTCACGTGGATGGCAGGAATGTTGCTGCCCCTCCGAAGGTGACTGTAACAGGCCTGTGCCCAAGGAGCGCACGAGGTTTTGTTTTTTCCTTTGTGTTGTTTTGGTTTTCGGAGGCAGCAGACATGATACTGAAAACACTGGAGCGGTTATGTGCTCACAGCTGTTGCTGGTGTGTGTGACTCTTAACGGTGCTAGTGAAGCTGGGAGCGGGAAAGGTCCCGGCGGGCAGCACACTCCGAAGTGAGCGGCGGCTCAGTCTCAGAAGTGATGTTACAAACGTTTTGTTTTACTCTCTGCGTTTTCTCACGTGTCTACAGCAGAATGTGACCTGTGGTTAGAGCCGGAGCTGGGTTACCCAGGAGCACCAGCAGTCAGAGGCAAGAGCCGCCATCGCCGTGCCACAGCAGCCGGGCACAGGCCTGTCACAGGGAGGTGGACGCTTCTCATTCTCAGATTCAGTGAACCCCATAGCAAACCACCTGAGCACCACAGAAGTTCTATAGGCCAGATGAGGCCAAGAGACCTCAAGCCCTTTGCCGCGACATTAACCTTCCCGCACAGAGAAACCCTGGGCCGCCGGGAACCAGACAGAGGCTCGCGCACACGCTCACGGCAGGTCCTCACTGATGGAACTGATGCGTTTCAGCGTCTCGCTCACTGACTGCCTGCTAACTCAACCGAGCCTTAAGCTGTGACTCTACTGTCCAGAGAGCACCGGGGTGCTTCTCTAGGGTCGTTCAGCACAGCAGCCGACCTCCCGACATGTTGCATCTGCTAGGGAATTGTGTCCCCAGGGCAGACAGTGGTCTGCACACGGAGGCTCTGGGAAGACTCGCCCAAGGAACGGGCAGATGCGTTCTCTTAAACTGACAGATCTCAGCATGAACATCCCAAAGTGAACCCCCTACTGCTCAGGAAGGATGACCCACTTACCTTCTAAACATGCCCTGACCTGTCCTGACACTTGCTGGAGTGTGACCCCCAGCGTGTACGGAGAGCTGCCCGCTTTGTGCATGGTAAAGAGGTCCACCTCTCAATGCTCAGGTAAACCCCACAGAGAGAAAGTGCTAATATCTTATTTTACAGATGAGGAAAACGGGGTCTATGAAAGGATCTTCGTTACAAATACAGCCGGGCCTCCAGGAAGGCAAAGAAAAACAAAGCCTTTCGGGAATGCCTGTGGCGTCGGCGTCAGGAGGGCCGTCCACGCTTAGGGGACTCACCGTGGTGATGTAGCGGGAGTGGAACTCCGACGCCTCCTTCAGGAAGGACAGGCCTGGGTGGGTGTTCACCACGTCCTATACCCACAGGGAGAAGACACGAGCACTGAGGATGCGCAGCTCACCCGAGCTGCACACGTGAGAACACCCGCCCTCAAGGGCTGTGCGAGAGAAGCTATGTTCACAGAACAAAGTCACACGGTTCTGTATGTGAAGTAGCATGACAACACCCACACACTGGAAAAGCACAGGAAGCTTCAGTTTAAATCAGAGTATCAATATATAACCTTTCCAGATGAAGAGTATCTTGTCAAGTTTGAAAACACAAGGACCAACGTGACGTCTGACAGAAGTAAAGAGCTACAACAGCACATGCTGTGAATTGCTTCTACTCAAGTGCACTCACTGGTAGTTCACATAACTCAGGACATTTCCAAAACAGCTAGTAACGTTCACCTGTGAACCACCTTTACCAGGAGTGTAATGCACTGAACTATTCTAAAAGGAACTGGAATAGGGTCTGGAAGACCAGCATTCTGCAACGCTGTCACCTGTTTCGTGTGGAGAATGATGTGCCCAATGAATGCACAGCCCTCAACTCGGTGGCTGCACGGTCAGCAGGTTGAGCACACTGCAAGTGCTACTGAGCCTGCTGTCAGCACCTGCTCGAGGTCGCCACTGACTGCGTAAGGCTGGTGGGAGGCAGCACCCGAGGGAGACATTGGCCTCCAAGCCAGTGTGTGTTGCACACAGGCACTCACCTGTAAAAAGGGGACGAAGTCTTCCTGCACCAGGTAGTTGCAGCCAGGATTCATGAGCAGGTGGACAAACTTGGCAGCGTCGTCATGACAGGTCTGGAGGATTCTGGAACGACAGAGGGGACTTTTGAACTGTCCTCACACACACGGGCGTCCACATGGCAGAAAGACAGAGCATGAACAGAAGGGAGGCCTATGAGCAAACACATCAGAACGCCCAGGCCAGGGATGCGCGTCTGGAGTGTCAGTGTCCTTCCCTTGCCAATGTGGCCACAGGAGGACAAGCCCAGCCACTGGCCACAAGGACCCGGGGATGCCCCTGACCCTCTGCCTGGGCCCTGGACTCACTTTCTCCACATGGCGACAAACTTGTGGACGGACACACAGCCTGTGCGCTCCCCACCAGCACCACAGAAGAGTGGCCCCTTCCAGTAGAGTGGACAGCCGCAGGCCTGCACGCAAGAGGGCAGAGAGCAGTCAGTGAGTTCCAGACACTCCACTGCCCCCCGCTCCACATGGGGAGCTTGGACAGAGTGAATCGCTGCAGCAGAAAGACAAACTGCGACCTTCAACCCGCAGCACCATGGAGGCAAGCGCCACTGTGTCCACGAAACACAACGGTCCGGGGCGTGTGCTTAGCAGCTGAGGATCGGGTGGCTCAGGAGCAGAGTGCACAGGGACCAGAGTCAGGATTCAGCACCTACAAAAGAAGGTAACTGGCAGAGCCTCAGTCTGGGAATCAAGCAGCAAAGTTCCAGTAACCCAGGAGTGAAAGAATAAATGACTCTGTGACTTAGGAAATGATTTGAAGGCAATGATACTGAAAACATCACACGTCAAAACCCATGGCTTGCACCTAAGCCAATGAGAGCGGCAGATTTACAGCTTTAAATACGTATGATGGAAAGAAGACTGAGGATCAGTGACCTGGGCTTCCATCTCAAAGAGAAAGGAAGGAAACTTTGAAGGGCAGTTAAGAAAGGGAAAAAATAGGGCCGGCCCGTGGCTCACTCGGTAGAGTGCGGTGCTGATAACACCAAGGCCGCGGGTTCGGATCCCATATAGGGATGGCCGGTTTGCTCACTGGCTGAGCATGGTGCTGACACCACCAAGCCAACGGTTGAGATCCCCTTACCGGTCATCTTTTTAAAAAAAAAAGAAAGGGAAAAAATAAACGTTTAACAGAAAATCAATAAAATCGAACCTCAATGATTTGAAAAGATTTTTTAAAATTAACCCTCAGCAAAAATCTTCAAGAACAAAAGAAAAAAACATAAATTACCAATGTCAGGTGACACTACAGACCCCATAAACAATGGAGAGACAGCGGGTATTCGTGCTTAACTCTATGCCAATAGATTGGACAACTCTGGTAAAACCGACAAATTCCTTGCTTAACGCTTCTAACCAAAACTTACATAAGAATAGAAAACCTGAACAGTCCTATGTTTCTTCAAGAAATTGAATCCCAAAATTAAAACTTTCCCACCAAGAATACTCCAGACCCAGAAGGCTTCACTGGTGAATGCTACCAAACATTTCAGGAAACAATCATATACAAACTCTTCCAGAGAATAAAAATAAGAAACCTTTCCAAATTCTTGGTATGAAACCAGCAAAACCTGGATACCAAAACCTGTCAAGGACACAAGGAAAATTATAGGCCTATTACCTCTCATGAACACAGATGCAAAAAATCCTACACAAAATGCATATTAGCAAATTCAATTCAGCAATATTAAAGAATTCAAAATAATAATAATAATAAATAGACCAGGAATAAAAAGGAAACACCTTTATTCTAACAAAGGGTGTGATGGTCTGAATGTTTGTGTCCCCCCAAATTCCTATGTTGAAATTCTCACCCACAAGGGGATGGTGTTAGGAGGTGGGGCCTTTGGGAGGTGATGAGGTCATGAGGGTAGAGCCTCATGAATGGGATTAGTGTCCTTATAAGAGAGACCTCAGAGAGCTCCCTCACCCCTTCCACCATGTGAGGACACAGCGAGAAGGTGCCGTCTATGAACCAGGAACCAGGTCCTCACCAGACACTGCACCTGCCACACCTTGATCTTGGACTTCCAGCCTCCAGAGCTGATAGAAACACATGTCTGTTGTTTATAAGCCACTCTGTCTATGGTTTTCTTTCATAGCAGCTGAACAAATTAAGATACAGAGTATCTACAAACACCGTCAGACACAATGTGACACATCAGCATGTCCTCCCTGTGTGGGGACAAGAAGAGGACATCACCGCAAGCACTGTGCTGGAGGGCCTAGCCAGCACAGCAGGCCAGAGGAAGAAGTGAAAGGTCCAGAGATGGGAAAGGGAGAGGCAGGACTGTCATAATTCACAAAGCACATGATACGAGGTGCAAACACTAGTATTAATAAGTAACTTTAGCAACATGGCTGGATCTGAGGAAAATAAGCAAAAACTCAATTAAATTTTCAATATACTGGCAACACTTGGAAAATGAATCTATCCAGTGAACTGAAAAACAAATCTCACCAAAACATGCAAGATCTCTACAAAGCAAACTACAAAACATTGCTGGGAGAGGTAAAGACGACCCCAGCGAGTGGGGACATGCCTCAGTCCTGGATCTGAGGACGGCACCTTGTTAAAACATCAGTTATTCACCCCAAATGATCTACAGATTCAACACAGTCCCAATCCACATCCAGCAGGGGTTTTGTTGTTATTGTTTTAGAGGTTTTTTGGGTAGAAATTGGCAAGTTCATTTTAAAAGTTATAAGGAAAATGCAAAAGAATTTGTGCAGTGGGGGACCAAACTGCAAAGATTTCTTAAACAAAACACATAATCCATTAACCCCAAAGGAACGGTCTGGTAAGCTGGACTACTTTACATTAAGAACTCTAGTTCACTGAAGGACATCACTAAGAGGAGGGAAAGACCAGTCCTAGATTGGGAAAAAGTATTTGCAATGCGTATTTCTGACAAAGCACTTGTAATGCACTCCTAACAAATCAGTAAGAAAAAGGCAGATGCCACAACAGAGCCACAGAACCCAACAGGCCCTGCAGAGCAGTGTCCACACCCCCAGGACACATGGAGGTGGGCCAGCATCAGCACGCACAAGGACGACACAAACACCAGGCATGGTGAGATGTCAATACGAACACCTATGTGATCAGCTAAACTAAAAGGACTCAAAATGCCAGCTGGAGGCAAGCACGCCAGGCAACTGTAAGTCCCCACACTGCTGGTGGGGCTGGAAGCGGTGCAGCTGCCTGGGAAAGCTGCCAGCAGGATCCACGAAGGCGGCTGAGCAGCACAGATCCTGCAGCCTGGGAGCTGTCCTGCAGGAAACACCCACAGGGAGAGGCTCATGCCCAGGAGAGCTGTGCAGATTGGAATGTTCCAGTAGCTTTACTCACAACAGCCCCACGATGGAGACACCCACGTGTCCACGAGCAGAGAGAGGACCGATGCATGAACTGGTAGATTCAGACCAAGAGATGTGGGTGACCACAAAGGGGTGCATGAGGGAGGGAGGTGGGAAGACAGCTTCCAGACACACAGTAGGATCTGAGGAGGCAATGCTGGGCTGGGGAAGACCAATATGGAAGATGCCCATGGGGGGTTTCCAGGAAGAGCGGCCCATGATGGAGTCAGATGCAGTTACCTGGAGGGGGTCGCTTGAGAGAGAGCAAGGAAGGAGCTGGGGTACCGGGAGCACTGGGTACCTTGCTGGGTGCTGGTGACATGTGTGTGTGAACACTCGCCAGGCTTCAGATGTGGGGGATGGCCCTGCCCTGTCTTGTGGCTATTGCGGATTCAGGACTCCATGTGTGTGTCCTCAGCAGAGATGTGCACACCTCATCTGTAAGTACCTGTGCTCCTGACTGCATGGGAGTGATGCCTCAGTTAACGAGTTCTGAGAACAAAATGGCAAGCTCAGGCTCAAGTCTATGCCATCCTATAGGCCACCAGGCAGGTTAATCACAACCTTCACTGCAGAGATTCAGAGTTTAAGAAAAGTGCCTCCGACCTAAATCACCTCTCATGACTTTTTTTTTTTTTTTCCTTTTTTTGTCTTTTTTTTTTTTCGTGACCGGCAACGGGATCGCAACCCTCGGTGTTGCACCCGCACCTCGCTCAGCCAGTGAGCGGCCGGTCTGTATGTGGGATCCGAACCCTCGGCGGGAGCGCCGCCGCGCTCCCAAGCGGTGCACTGTAGCAGTGCGCCACCGGGCCGGCCCCTCTCTCATGACTTCTTAAAAATATTCCCTGAATGGGGATGCTTACCTCTAAAATGGAAAAGATACAAACAAAAATAGTTTTTAAGAAATATTATAAAATTGCCACTCAAAAGGATATACATCATATATGTATATTTATACATTATATAAAAAGATTCTTTTACAGCCTTTTATCATTTACATACGGTAAGAGTCACTCTGCAAAGCCAGACAAAGGCAGAGTTGTGTGCTGCCTACACAGGACAGGGAACACTGTCACCCCAGCAACACCCTCGGAGGCCCCTTTGTGGCCAACCCCTCCCCTGCCCCGATGTCCTCCTCGGCGTCCCTCTGGTTTTGCCTTTTGTGGAATGTCACATAAACGTAATCGTAGGCCTGCAGCTTTTAGGTGTGGCTTCTTTCACTCATCTGTGCTGTGCTGTGTATCAACAGTCTTTCTTTTTATTGCTGGGCTGTATTCCATGACGGATCTGTTGATGTCCGGTAAAGTAGCTTTCTGAGCAAGAAATATTACCAGGGACACAAAGGACCCTGTCGTGATGATAAAGGGGTCGATTCATGAAGAGGACAGAAAGGTCCTAAACGTGCACTCACTCACTAACAGAGACACAAGGCACAGGTTGCCAAACTACAGCTCCAGGAGGGGAGAGAGGAAAACCCACAGTTACAGGTGGTGAGTTCAGCAGCTCTGTCTTAACTGCTAGAGCAAGTAGAAAATCTGCAGGAAAGTAAAGATTTGAAACTGTGCTCAAACTGCTTGGGCAAAGTGACATTCAGAAGCATGTCTCCATACATGAAAACCTTCGTCTCCATGCATGAAAAAAGCACTGGACAAATCTCAACAAGCATTCATGATACAGAAAAGATAAAAAAAACTCTCAACAAACTAGGAACATAAGGGAATGTCCTCCACCTGTTAAATTGTTTTTATTAGAAGATGACATGACTATGTATTAGAAACTCTTATAGAATCTAAAAAGAACTAACAGAAGAAATAAGGGAATTTAGTTAGGTTACAAGATACAAAGTCAGTATATAAAAATCAACAGTATTTCCAATACTCACAAAAATAATCATAAATTGAAATAAAAATTCCATTTACAATATCATTGAAAATATGAAATATTTGGGTATAAATTTGATAAAAGATGAACAAGACCTACATATAGAAAAACTACAAAATAGTAGTGAGAAAAATTAAAAATGACTTGAACAAAGGGAGAC